GAAGCATAAAACAGTGGTGTCACGTGAAGTGTCTGCAGATATGTCACTGGAATCTAAGGAAAAGTGCAAATGAAGAAAAAAAATTATTGAAAAGTCATTCGAATCACTGAGATAAAATTTATAAAGCCTTCTAACTTTTCTTAATTAATGGTTAAGAGTGAAAAGACATAGCAATGAAATTAAAATGTTTTTCAAAGTGCTTCGATTCTTGTTTCAATAAATTTTTGATGATATATTTGTAAATATTCTGGCATGATGATGATATTTTATCAAAACAACGAAGTTTCTTATTACTCCAATAAAGGTAAGAATTTTGAATTTATACGTTATATTATTTTAAAAATAAGAAGTAGTAACTACGTAGGTAAATAAAGACTCTTATATTATTGTGGTAAGATGGAAATAAAAAATGAAATTTCACCTTTTTAATTTTTGCAGTTTTTAAATGCAAACATTTTATGACAAATTGAACTGTTTTATTCAGACACGTTTTTAGTATAAATCAAGCAAGAAATAGTTGTCAGCTAAATACAAATATAAAAAATATAAAATAGAATTATAAGGATAATAAAGAAAACTAATATTGCTGCCACACGACCTAAAAAGCGTAGAAATTTATGCAACTTTTCTCCGTTTCTAATTCAAGCTCCCTCCGCAAAGAAATTTCTGCATAGTTTAGTACGTATACCAGCATTATTTGGTTTTTGGTTTTATCATAAAACTATCAGTGTAAATTAAAATAATAAAGATTTTGATGTTTTAGTAATTTTCATATAATAATTAAATCTTTATAATTACTAAGAATTTTAAATCAGTTATTTAAGTTACAAAAATTAGAATATTTGAGATTCTTGAGCAAGTTCTTTTTTAAAAGAAAAACAAGTTAGTTACTAAGCATTTAAATGCCGTCTTTATATCCATTCACAATAAGTAACTTTGCAAAAAAAAAAAAAAAAAAAAAATCGATGAGTGCGTTAATAATTCAATTTTTAGCCCAAAGGGTCAATTTGTCCAAAAGGGCTATTAATTTCGTTTTCAGATTTTGTGTTGGTTCACTATAAATGTCGGTTCAGTTTTCAAATTGTTGCAACCAAATATTAGAGCCCTGTATGATATTTAAAGAAATTAAGTAATGAAGAACCTGCATAAATGTACGTATGTTTCTCGCATTGTGGTAAAACAACGGTACCTAGAAATATCAAATTTTAAATAATGTACTTTTCCACCCGAATATGGCAATCTGGAAGACCAAATTTGGAATTTGGATTTTGTTTTATTATATATTTCATATTTTATAAAACTTTAACGTATTTTTGATTAACAAACTCAAAGATTTCAAAGCGAGCAATGGCAACACTGTACATAAAAATAAAACAAAAAACATTTCTATCTCCAGCGAGCGAGACTGTGTATCAGAAATTATAAAAATATGCTCATTTTAAAATTATTTTGCGATACTGCTGCTGAACTGAATTAAAGGTAACGCACAAAATGTAGAAAAATGCTCTTTTGGAAATAATTTAAAATCTGAGACCTTTCAGTTTTTTTTTTTTTTTTTTTTTTTTTTTTTTTTTTTTTTGTTTGTTTGTTTGTTTGTTTGTGTGTGTGTTTGACTGTTCAGAACATAAATGTGTTTATCAAAATGGTAGATATTTTTTTAGAGAATTTTTGATGATAAGAAATGTTTGTTCCATTCCCTTATTATTTGTTGAGCTTGTTTCTAAAATTTACGAAAATATTTTTAGGATAGTTACATAATTCTCAGTTGAATTTGTATAAATTTGTTCATTGTACTAATATTTTACATGATATGAGATAAAAAATCCGGCTATGGAAAGTTAAAAACTGGATTAGGAAATTCAGTTTTAAATATGTCATGTTTTTAAGAATTTCTCAAGTAGTATTCGGCATTTTAATTTCTACCGTAGTCTTGTTAATTTACAACTAAGTTTGTTTCCCTATTAACTAAAGAAGAGAATTGGTATTAAGCATTAAATTTCACAAAATATTCTTTTCTCAAAATGTCAAGTCATCTATGATATTTTTTTTTCCATTTTATAAATATCTCGGCCTATCAAATTCATTAAAACATTTATGTGCGTATTTTCTGAAAAATATTTGTAAATTGCAGTTGAAAATTAAAAACGAAAAATGTGTGCATTTGATGCGAAATCGATATATCAGACTTCTTTTGCAAATAATAGACAAAATAGCACAAATAGCATACATAGGCGAAACAGAAAAAGTAAGATAGCAGTTTTGTTTGCATCTGAACACTTTATGCAATGTACGTTTTCATTAATCGCAATACTCAATTTTACAAAAGTTCTTAGAAGATTGTGCATTTAAAAGCAATAAATGAATGTTAATTTTGAATTCTAGTTTATTTCTGAGTATGTTAAAAATAAATTACAATATATTATGAATCTATGTGAGAGGATATACAACGCAATAAAATTTTCAATATTTTTTTTTTAATATTTGCATATTACATCTGTTTCTCTTTTGCTAAAACTAGTGTTTTATTATTTGTTTAAAAATCTTTCATGGAGCTTTAAGTAGATCTACTGTAAATTCTTAAATTAATACAAAGCTGATTATAGAAAGCAATTAAAAATTCATACACTTCCTTAAATGCCTTCAAAAAAGACGATGTTTTAATTTAAATTATTTAAAAGTTCTTCCTTAAAATCTCCTCTTTCACGCATTTTCCGTATCTTCGTTAATGACGCTGAGCATATATTATAACCAGTGTATTACACTGAATCATCATAATTACCATGATTTTCAGTATTTAAACGTACTTTGCAACAAAAGGTGCTTTAATGCTTTTAAATAGAATTAACATATAGCGATAATATATCGCAGTTACTAGCTCAGATCTTGTTATGTCGTTGTGTTTATTTCATGATGTTAAAATATCAAAAACTCAAATAACAGCTTTAGAGTTTAGTGCATGGATATTACTATAACATTAAAATGCGTTAAAATACATTATAATACTATGCAGATTAGCTGCACAATTAATTTAACGTTAAATAATTGAATAATTTTCTATTGTATTAAAGTAATAAGTTAATAGTTCCTGGTAGGCTGTTAAATTAACAATCCCTAAAATAAAACTAGCTTTCAGTTTTAATAGTATTAATGAACTAAGTTTTATTAACTGAACTAAACAAAAATTTGTCAGGTTAAAATGATACCCTGAGTAACAATTATTTTAGTCAAACAACAAAAATAGCTTTATATCTGCAATTTTTCCAGGATTAGTTTCGATGGTTTAACTACCGAACCATTTTCCTCAGCTGCTAAATTGGGAAAAAAAAAGTTGTTTATTTTTTAACTACTAAAAAAACTACATTTTATTTCAACTTGGCAGCTGATGGTTCGGTAGTTAAAACATAGAAACTAATACTGAAACATTTGCAAATATAAAGCTGATTTTTTTTTTGTTTGATTTATAAAATAAGAGTTTATCACTAGCTTAAACTAATAATCAAACAGGCTTTAAAGAAAAAAAAATAAGGAGAATTACACTTTTACATTTGTTACAGTAGATAACTCTAATTACTTTTAAATAGTTTTTAAATACATTTTTTCAAATAAATCTAGCCCGCCCATATAATTTTGGGGCTAAATTATAGATTCTTTGCCTTAACAGCACAAAAGATAACCGCGAAGATCTTCTAAAATCGTCGATTCTAATCAATCGAATTCTCCAAAAAACGAGTTTTGTAGGTGAGATACCTGCCCAGATAGCCGATACGGCTTGACATTACTTGTAAATTTACGCGTTTTGTAATATCAGATGTGGATATTATTTGAGAATTTTTTGCATTTATGACCTCATCTGAGATTTCCAAATGGTCTGTATCTTTAACGTCTGTATCTGGATCAGAATGCCACGAATTCTTATCAAGATAGCTGCACATTTAACTATGATAAAAAAAATCCAAAAAGTACCTTATTATGTTTCATTTTTATATACATTAAAATAAACTCTGTGTCCTCTACGACCTGAAGCGCAACCTCCTGTAATGCTTCTGCAGAAACAAGTTTTCTTCCTCTTACAGGATAAACCAAAAACGATCAACTTTCTTCGAATTTCGTTTTCATTTTCGAAAGGTTTTTAACGTTTATTGAGACTCTTAGAATCCACTTCAAAGTACAAAATTATTATTTCTATGTCATCAGACGTTTGGACTCGTATATGCCTTAGCTCTTGTGTTCAATATTATTTCTCAGTTATAAATTAATGCATAAAATTGAATTATTATTAGCTAAAAGGGCTATTAATTTAGATTTGGCATTTTTGCGTCGATTCACTTCCTACGTTGATTCACTTTATAAACTGTTGCCACCAAATATTACAGCCCTGTATTATATTTTAAGAAATTAATTAATGGGTAATCTGCATAAATTTATGTATGTTTCTCGCATTGTGATAAAACAACTGTACCTAGAGTCATCCAAATTTGAATAACGTAATCCTCCACCGAATATGAGCATCTGAAAGCCCTAATTTGGAATTTGTTTTATTATCTATTTCATATTTTGTCAGACATTGAAGAATTTTTGATTAACAAACTCAACGATTTCAAAGAGAGCAATGGCTACACCGTACGGGAAGGGAAAAAATTTATATCTCCAGGCGGCAAGACTGTGTATCGGAAATTCTAAAGATTTTCTCATTTTAAAACTATATTGCGATATTGCTGTTGAATTGAATTTTATGGTTTAAGTGCGAAGAGCATGATATTTAATAAATAAAGATAATACACAAAACGTTAAAAAGGCGCCCCTTTCCTTTTATTTATTTTTAAATGTGTGTACATTTTAATTACATTTAATAATTATTAATTAATGTGTAATATTATTTTTCAGTTATAAATTCATATGTAAGAAATATAAGTAATCAATTTCAGGAAAATTGATAAATAAATAGGATATTAAAAAATTTGTCATTTATATTCAGAAATATATTCCTTTTCATTCTCTAGGACCACCTGATCCTGTGCGAAACTGTGTTGTTGTTAATCAGTCGCATTCTTGGTTATTGGTGGAATGTGAAGCGGGTTACAGTAATGGTCTTCAGCAGAAATTTCACTTAGACGTCTACAATTCTGCTGTTGATCATCTGCAAGTGAATCTAACATCAAATGACGTACCATCATTTTCCGTTCATGACTTGCCTCCAGGAACACCCTTTGTTCTAGTTGTATACGCTTCAAACGAAAAAGGCAAAAGCAATTCTTTAGCTATTGTGGGTCATACACTTCAAACTCCTCTTTTGCAAGCTGGTAAGTACAGTTCATAAAAATTATTTTTCAGAAAGCCCAATTAGATAAATCCTTACAGCGCAACTATTCATTAGTAATGATGATTGATTCAGATAACATTGGTCGTAACGATAAAGATGAAGCATAGGGTGAAATGCTTCTTTTTATCTTTTATTGTTGCTTTGCATTTTATACATTGCTGCGTTTTATTTCGAAATGTATTTCTTTTATAATTATTTTTTTTTCTTCGGCTTATTTATTTAGCCTTGCAAAAAGAAAAATAGAGAGACGAGGGAAGTAAGGATACAAGAAATGAAAATTATTTATTATATTTGGTACTGTACAGAGTTGTAAAATTAAGATAAAGATTTTCTGTGTTTTCATCATTCGACTTAAAATAATCTATAATTCTTTAATTTTATCATTCTTTTAGATTTAAAAACATATTTTAAAGTAATATTGCTTAAGAAGTCAGATTTCTTTATTTTGAATTATTAAACTATATATACACTAAAAATTTTCTAAAAATTTACGCAATGCATAAATATTGGAATTTTTAAATTTGTCTTGCTTTAGCCTACGAGAGATTTAAGTCAGGATTAAAAAACTAAAAACTCTGACATTGTTTATGTTCTGAATACTGCAAATTACAGTAAAACTACAAAACTGCTGTAAGTATGTTAAATTCCATCTATTGTTTGAAATTATACTTTTTATTTATTTGATACACAGCAGGAGTTAACTTGATAATGCACAATTAAATCGAATGATACAGAAAATTGATAAAAAGCATTTGAAAATTCCTAATTACCAGTATTCAAATTTATAGGCTTTAACTGGATAATGCACAATTAAATTTTATAAATTTAAAATATACAGGTCAGTTTGCATCATCAATCGAATATTTAGTTTTAGTAAGAAGAAAGGAATTTGTTATTAAGAAAGATTAAGATTTAAAATTAATATTATGCACATTAACGTACTTTGTGAATATTAAACTGAAAGTGAATAAATTTGGAAAAGCTTCAATTAAGCAAATGGCATCTAAGATGAAAAAAAAAATTAAATTACTTTAGAAATATAAATCAGAATGTAAGATAAAAAATAAATTAAAAAAGCATTTATTAATGATAGTACACTTTACCCGAAATAGCTGATCAAATAAATTATTTCTCAGGAAAACATATTTTTTTTTCAATAGGTAAAAACTTACAATTTGCAGTTAGAACTTGTTATTCAAAAATAGTTTGAAATGTAAAAGTATAAATAAATACTGTGTATGTTATACTTTTACGAAAGCATTCATATTAAAGACTCATGAAATGAGATAAAAGCTGAAAAACAGACAACAGTTATCTTTTAAACACAAAAATGGAAAAGTTCAAAATATTCCCTAACTCTTATAGCTCATCACTATTTCTAACTTAATCATGTCGCCTTGCATTGGACTCACATATTGTCAAGCCTATGAATTAGTTTCTGGTACTGTATGATAACAAGTAACTCAGATGATCATTTTAATGCTATCGTATTCAACACAATTTGATACTATAGCTAGTAGTGTTTGATATGAGACATAATGCATGATAGTCTGATGACAGCAGTGATGGAATAATGTTGATGAGTGGAAGGCTGGCATTTTATGATCACTCCCTCCTCTTCAACATTTTTATAAACCATTTATCGAAATATTTTCCTTTCTCGTATTTTACTTTGTATTCCCGGAAAGAGCTAACGCAGTTTTTTTTTTTTTTTTACACTATTTTGAACGAACTGCGTGTGATTATTCACCATTCATCAATTCCATCATATCGGGGGAATTAAAATGTATGACAGATTATACCAGATGGTTTCCGTTTTTGCTTTTCTAAAGATAAAAATTTCGGTAGCCTGCTACAGGCCTTCTTGGTTAAATGTTTACACGAAAGAGAAAAAAAATATAGATTGTCATAAATATTATAAATTTTTTGTATTGTTTTATCAAGAGATATTGAATTTTTTAATATTATATAGCAGGAGTGGCCATAGTGTGGCTTAGGCAGATATGTGATGCGGCTGCTATGCAAATATGGTAGAAACATGTATGAAATATGGTAAACTTCAAACGTACATATTTTGTAATTACTTTACAGAAAGGGTGCGTCGATTTTCTGTAGCATTAGTAGCAGCAAAAGTTAAATTTAAACGGTCTGTTAGTAAAAATAACTTGACTATCACTTTTTATTTCCGTTTCCCTACCAAATCATGTTTGAGAGTATCAGTCAAGTTTCAAATTAAAAGACAGAACGTCTTTCTGCCGCTTCAGATCAGATGTCTGCTGAATCATTTCTTTCCTATTCTACAGTAAAAGACTGGGGAAACAGTCTCGCGCGAGCCAAGAATCTGTTGAAGCTAATTCACATGAAAATCGACTATTCGAAGCATTGACATCAGAAAATATTGCTGTGTCCAGAAGAAAAAAAATGAATGGTCCGAGATTAAAAGCAAGGAGATAGCAGCAAGATTGGATCTGTCTAAAGTAACTGTTTTGCTCATTCTGCATGAACAAAGCCTTTGCAAAGTATAAGTATCCCCAACATCTTTCAGAAATCCAGAAATAACGCTGCTAGTTTAAGTAGCTTGACTAATCTTTTACAGCCTAGAGTTAGTTCCAAGTGATTACCTGCTCTTCAAACTGAAATTTGACCTTTTTTTACTGAACAAAACTGAATTCTATGATAGGGCTAAAAGACTACCTATGGAACATTTTGTGGTAAACTTGAATGTTTAATTACCAGTGATACAGAGGTAGTTGCACACTTAAAGATGCGAAATGCATTTTGAAGTACATATGATTTGGGTTCCAGGTTTTATAATATGTAATTTAAAAAAATTAGTATTTTCTAAATATTGCACTTAACATAGAGAAACTCAGCTTAAAGGTATTATTTTAGTCATTTTACATAAAAATATTCCAACCTTCTTCTACGCATGTTTGAAAGTTTTGTAAATATTGATGGTAATGGGGCTTTTCGTTCTAAAAAGTTAGGGGAAAAAATGTGTGTTAGGGATGTTAAAATGTACAGTCTTCTATTCTGTAAAGATCGACACAAAGTTTTAGATGAAACGAAAGGTCTCAGGCAAAATGCGTTTCAAATGCAACTACGGATTCAAAAAAATAGTATTAAAAACGTCATTACATGATCTGTGCTTTTAATAATCACATCACACCGCATCATAATCAAAATCTTAATAACGTGGAATTATATAACTTTCTGAAAAAAATGGAATGAAAAGATAGCATATTAGTAGAGTATATATGTTTCGTGATAAAATGCTATTAAACAGCATTAGTAAGGCAAAAATTCGTTTATCAACTCCGTCATCGCCCGAAAAATAACACGCAAAGTTAATTCTTCCTTATATTTTGGGTCTAGATAAAGTAAGATGGATTTTCTGTGAAAATTGTTCTAACATGAAGTAGTGAGCGACATCTTGCGGATAAAAAATGTTTAAATATAAAATAATAAATTTCCTCTGATTGAAACTGCGAATTAGAACAACTGAAAGAAATTATTTTAAATTCCATTCAACGCAGTTTAAATAAAACTATACTTCTTTTTACACAAAGAAAAGAGTTTCAACTATCCACCACATTTAAGATTAAAAATTAAGTTAAAACTTCCCTTGTCTTTGATAACAAATTAAGTACATAAGAAATAAAATTTTAAGTTTCTTATGACACGATTCGCCTGAGAGATTTTATTTTATTTTATTTATTTATTTTTTTTTGACTTTTTTTAAATCTCTTTCAGATACAGCTTTCATGGCTAAGTTGAGCCCATTGGTTGCAATCCTACTAGCAGTGGTGGGGACTCTTTTAATGATTGGAGTTGTTGGTCTGGCTTTTGTGCAGATTCGAAAAAGAAGGCCGATTAAAGGTAAGCTCCAAAATTAATTACTCCCATAGAACATAAAACTTAAATTCTCATTGGAGAAGTTTCAAGTAGAAGCTTTTTATTTGTCTGTACTTTCTTCGTAATCTAGATTGCTTGCTTTCCTTAAAGAGAATCAGAATACGTGCATTGAATAGGAGAGTGAAAACTACATCAAAATATTTATAGAATGGACATTTTATTATTTTATTTAGATCCAAATAAATAATTTTAGTTTAGTTTCTTGATATTAAGATGTCTGAATTTAAATAGTGACTAGAAAAATTTAATTTAAGAAATATCTTCTGAAATTCAAATTATTATGTTCATTTTTGAAGATATGTACTCAAGCACTACTTATTTGAGGAATAATAATTTTCATTTATTGTAATATCATTTGTCATTTGCAGGAAAACTAATACTGCGGGCGTTATATATAACTTTATTAAGGTTCTGCAATAAAAGTTATTTCATTAACTCATTTTTAATTTTCATTATGTAATGTATTGGAAGGTAAGTTTTTGATAAAAAGCAGGTGATGCTAACACATATCAACATATCTGCCTAAGCATGACTTTTATAACTAATATCCGTATTCGTAATATTTTATGAAAAAGTTTGATTGCATGGTTTTGTATTTAAATGTATCTTTTACAGAATTTTAATAACTGAAAAGTCTTGTAGCTTTAATTTAATTGGAAAAATATTGCTGCGTAAAAAATATCACTTATTTAGCTCATAATTTACGAAAGTTTTCATTATGTAATGTATTGGAAGGTAAGTTTTTGATAAAAAGCAGGTGATGCTAACACATATCAACATATCTGCCTAAGCATGACTTTTATAACTAATATCCGTATTCGTAATATTTTATGAAAAAGTTTGATTGCATGGTTTTGTATTTAAATGTATCTTTTACAGAATTTTAATAACTGAAAAGTCTTGTAGCTTTAATTTAATTGGAAAAATATTGCTGCGTAAAAAATATCACTTATTTATCTCATAATTTACGAAAGTTTAATTTTTTTTTTTTTTTTTTTTTTTTTTTATGAAACAGAAAATTTTCCATAAAGAAAAGTAAACAGTAAAACTGATTTTGTGATAAAAAAGTATGTTTATCCAGGTACAAGCTATTCTACGCATAACTTGTATTGTTTTCTTAAAAACAATTGTGCTATATATATTCAGAAGTGATATATATTTTAATGCAGGCGCAGAATACATTTACAGAAAACTATTAACAGAAAAAATAAACATATTTTATTTTGACTCTTGAATTTATTATTATTATAAGCATAATATTTATTGGCTTGAATTTTAACTTGATATTAATTGCAAAGTTAAACAAAAAGCTCTCTGACACACTTTTATGCTTAATCTATGTTATGCATAAATATCATACATATATTTGTAATTACTATTTTGTTGCTTATTGTGTTGTCAAAGATATCTCGTAAGTAATAGGAACTATAAATAAGAAACTTGTAAATGAGTGATATGGTGGGACCCGCTTTATAGGAAGACTACATAGGAAATGAAATATTTCACCGCTTTTTCTCTAGAATTCAGTCGCAAGAATTCTGGTCAATTTTTTGGTATATTTGGTCATAAGAATTTGGTCAATTCTTTGATCACGAAATCAAAAATCTTAAAACTGCAAGATGTAGGAATATAAAACCATGCAGGCGACTTGTCGTCTCATGCGCGCATGAGGCGCGCATGCGTCTCTTGTTTCGTTAGAAACTGAACCCCATTTCTGAATTTAAAACTAGTTTTTCTTCTTGGGTAAATTTTTGTAATTTTAAGATCATTAATAAAACTGTTATTATGAACTTTCATTTTTAAACTTTAACAATAAATTCGTCTGGTGTATATTGTTAACAAGGCTCAAAATTTAAAATATAGGGTGCGGCAGCGTTCATAGCGGAATTTGACTTGCGTAGCGCAATGACGTACTGCATGGATGCTCGCCAGCTTTAGCCGCATTCGTGTACTAATGAGCTGCCATTTCGAGTGTGACAGTGATATGGATCGTTGGAGTGCACAGCATCGTGCCTTTGCTGTTGAAAGTTATTTCAAGAATAACTACTCTGTTATTGCTACCCAGCGTCTATTTCTGCATCATTTCAACTTGGGACGTTATGGGAAAGTTCCAGATGGACGGACCATTGCGACAGGCATTTCCAGGTAGAGTAATTTACCGTTTTGGTGACATTTTCTGGCCGCCTCGCTCACCTGATCTTTCATGTGGCGACTTTGGGGGCACCTGAAGCAAGAAGATGTCCGAGCACGTTGTGCCACCATTCCTGAGTTGAAGGATCGCATCCGAACTGCCGTCGGCAATGTCCCAGGGAATGCGTTACGCCGATTTACGGCAAGCTTCCAACGCCGCCTAAATGAATGTGTTGTGCAGATAGGGCACCATATTCAAAAAGTAATCCACGCAATGGACAGTGACTTACACATTAGTAAATGGCATATCTTTAACTATTAACTGGCATATGAAGTAATAAATAAATTACAGTTACTGCCTTATGGTGTGCTTTTAATATCCTACTATGAACGCTGCCGCACCCTATATTTCAGATAAACAGTATAAATGAATGAATTTATTAATGATTATCCTCTTTTTGCTGGTTATAACACTTTTTAAAATATTATGCAATGTTACTTAACTTTGTTGTATTATTAATAGGTTTTCAAGGTAAATGGTTAACTTAAAGTTGCAGAAAGAAAAGTATTTAAAAACACCTTTTTCGGGGCTGGTTTCCTAATAATATTTAATAAATCTACTTATTTTCTTAACACACTGTCATTTTAAAAGCATTTATTGGGATCAAATTCGGATGACCTCGCTGCATTCTTTAAAAAACTTATTTAATTTTCGTAACATTCCTTTGCTTGATCAAACGATAAATTTTCTCATTTTGGAACAGGCTTCATGTATAAGTTTAAAATTCAGACCTTTGTCACATGTGGTAAAATGAATACGTTTGAATTGTTTCTAAGCATTAAAGGAGGATTTTGTATCTGTATTGATTCTCAAGTATTAGCAGATAGTAAGGAAAAACTACTGGAATGACTGTAAGGCCTACTGGAATAACAGTGATAAATTTATTAAATGTTTTCGACTCTTCCAACAGGCTGGAAACAATTTTAAAGGACTAAATTAGAATAAAGGTTGATTGCAAAGAAATTACATCAAAAGTTTATTATTATTATTTTTTAAATTTCGAATAAATACTTTCACCTTTTTGCATGCGTACGGGTTCATAAAAGATTGAATGCACAAGTCCGATAACAGGATAATAAAATTTATTGTTTTCAAAAGAAATATACCAGAAGTCTGGAATTGTCTTGAGAGATATTCGTACAAGTCTTCACAATATCACGCAATATAATCAGTACTTATATTTCAAACTACTCTAAAACATAATAAAATGCAATGCAAAGCCCATCTAAAGAGAAAGCTAACTCGAATTTCTAAATTCTCGCGAAAATAACAACTCGTAACAACAGTAAGTAAGCAACTGAGAGCAGACGCTCTCTTTTCGGCCTTAAAGAAGTTTAAACTGGCCGGGCGATATCTTTCTAGTACTTTATGTTTCTCGAGATTTCTGGAAAGCAAAAAGAGTGTGGAATTCAGATTCGGGAAATTCAAAGTCCGGAATCGGGCAAAGTGGAAAGAGTCCAGCCAAAGCGGAAATGGCAAAGTTGCTGGAAACTTCCCGGATAATGTCCGATCTTTTACTTGGTTTCCGGATTTCGACGACCAGTTCGCGAAGTGGTATGGAACGATCGGCGAAAGTCGGAAGAAAATAGTCAAAAGAAGATTGCTTTACATTTTATTAATTTCAAATGATGAAAATCAATTGCAATAGTATTAAGCTTATAAAGTTTAGTGCAGTAGATATAGTAGTATAGTACAGTATAAGCTTATAAAGTATTGTACCAGCAGCTTTCATCACTTATTATAACAAGATGAACTTGTATGACAATTCGAATAGCGCAACAGGTGGTTCTTTCTGCATTTCCAGCGATTTGTTGCGCACCTGGTACTGTAATTTTGTCGAATGGAGCCTTGGACGTCGGTCAGTGATTGGGTAGACGCGATGGTTGGTATTTTACTTTCAGTGGAAACAGTTTCTGGTGCACGATGAGAAACTCACATATGGAATACAGTTTCTGAGAGCCACATGTTCTATTCCTAACTTGTAGAGGCCGTCTTCGACTTTCAAGACAACTGCAAAACCGCTTCTTGGATCACCGCGACCTCTGTCAACATCTGGTCTACAGAAGCGTGCATTATCTCCAACTTTCGACGTTGGGAAATTTAAATCTGAATTTTTAAGAAAGCAGACCTTCGCAGTTTGGCCTTGGAAACTAACATGAGCTTCTGACCTCTTCTTCCTGATTTCTTGTTTATTATAACATAGCCTGCAAGTAATGTTTCCTCCGTACCCTTTGTCTGCTTCATTGCTTATTCCACATGGACAGATTTAGCAAACGAAAAATTATATAATCCTACATTAGTACTTTTTTTAGAATGCTTTCATTTTAATATTGTCATTTTTAACGAGTGAACATCTTCTTTTTAAATACTAGTTTTTTATGCATCGAAATTATCGTACTTTAAGAGATTTTATTGTTTATTTCCAATATACATACAAGTTCTGGAATCGCTGCGTCGTTTTTCTCCTTCAGTTTCTCAATTTATTCTGCTTTTTAAGAATGAATAATACTTCCATTGCCATACTTCTTATCATTAAAATGTATGCTTAAAACATTTTTTAACTTATCTAATTAATTTGTTATCAAGAAGTATTTTATTCAGACATACATAAACTGGACAAATAGAAATTAATAAAGGCAATTATATTCTTAATATAAATTTTTATTACTTTCATTATTTTTCATCGTAGCAAGAAAAGACATAAAATTATCTGCAAACATATATCTGTATCTATCTATATATAGTATAGTATATACATATAAACGCACACACA